GTTACACATCGTTGTCGTTGGCATCACTTTGGCCGGATAGCTCTGTTTTGCGAGTTTGACTGACTTGATTCTATAGCTACCAGTCGAGCGTGGCTCTTTCAGACTCAGGGTCTGGTTCCATATCGACCTCGCCAAGCTCCAACGCCTCATCAGCACTGGCATACTCATCGTACACTACGTTCTCTCCGACGGTTTCAAACACTTACCCAAGTCACTATTCCGTACCAAACAATTACTTTAGCACTACGTGTGGTTACGGCAGCATGTCTTCGAGTCGACGATTGTAGGTTTTCTTTGTGGCGCACTCGTGCGTGTAGAACCCGAAGCGATGCATGACAGCTGACAGCTACGCGATAGAAACGATCCCTCTTCGTCGGCAATGTTACCTCCGGCGAGATCACCAGGACTAGGCCATTCTGTGTCACCATCCATGGGTTCGTCGGCAAGGGACAATTATACGACAGGGACGCCTGGCGTGCATAGATATCCCAACGCCTTGTCCCCTCGAGCTGACCTTTCCCGGTACAATTCCCAACCTGACACTCCTAGGAGTGTGCTTGCCACCACCATGCCGTTGACCTACAACGGTGCTTACCACGCGAGCACCTATGCGACGCCCTCAGGCTCACCCGAGACGCCGCCTTTCAACGCACAGGAGACATGGGGCAACATCACTTGCGAAGGCTCGACAGTGACACCCAATATCGACGCCAAGATCGAGAAGGGCTTCTTCTACTCCGGTGATCGAGTATGGACATGCTACCGCAGGAACTATTTCGCTGTCAACGTGTCGTTCCAGCTTACGCCCTGGATTGCAAACGCCCGTATGTACCTCGAGCAGACAGGCAAACCACCGGAGCAAATACAGTCCATGGCAGTATCTCTTGCAGCGGCTGTGGACGGCTCCACAGGCAAGACTATCGAGCTGATCCAGCACACACCTAAGCGTGACAAAGGCCCGCAGCTCGCGATGAAGAAGGAACTACTGGCCCCAACACCACCGGGAAAGAGCCATGAGCATGGTGGATATGGGCTGAGTAACTTTCACCAAACCTCAACCGTGCCGGGTCCTCAGCTACCATTGCAGAGCGAAAGCGACTCGTCGCAACAATATTCCCCAGCGAGCCATGCCAGTAGCAACTACCAGCATTCATTCGAACGCATCCAGTTCAAGTCGGCAACGGCGAATAATGGCAAGCGTCGCGCTCAACAACAGTACTACCATCTGATTGTCGAGTTGTGGGCGAACGTGCAAACTCCACGAGAATCCGAGCCCCGTTGGGTCAAGATCGCAGCCCGGCTGTCGTCTCCCGTCGTTGTCCGTGGCAGGTCACCTAGCCATTACCAGAACGAGGGTCCACACAATGCTGGTACCCCAAGAGGCGCGCCTGGGTCTGGCCTCGGTGGAGGCGGTCATCATGGGCTGGGATCAAGTGGCCAACCTTCCTATCCGGCCTGGAGGAACGGTATGTCGGGCGGTGGTGCGACTGGAATGGGCGGCAGCATGTATCGTGGTAACACGTACTCGCTAGACCCAAGTCCCGTCGGCAGTCATTCGGTCAGCTCAGCAAGTTCTCTGAGTGGAGGTCCGGTCGAAGGCGTTAGCGGCGAACAGCACATGGTCGAAGACGACGATGCGAAGATGATGGATGCCCCTCAGGACTATTCTTATTATCCTGCGTCCATCTACGAGACTATCCCTACTAAGCTTGAAAGTACTCTACCGCCACCCGATCGCAGGATCAAGGATGAGTATCCAACTGCTGGCTGGCACATCGGAGGCTGTGGAAGATTCCAAGGCATGGAGAGCAGTCGCGGATACTATCCCGACGTACAAGCACATACTTATTGACAAGCATCCACTAGACTGCTGTCATAGCTTGCATGAACCATGTTGGCCGGCTCAACATGGACTAAGGCTCGCTCCCTTCTCGAACGAAATTCCGCCTCACTGCACTTCGTACAGGCAGTTGGGAAGCTCTTACCAATGACGGCTATTTTTGGGTGCTTCGCGATGACATCTCGGTTTTGCGGCGGCCTTGTTATTGTTACTGTACTTGATCCTTTGCCAACACGAACACCGACGAGCCCTCACACCAGCACCACTCCCCAAACGAACGACGCCCAAAACACCGCAGCTCAGACAAGGTCAGAACGGCACACGAAGAGGTGTATCATACATGGCGCAAGAAAGGCTACATCGCAGGCTTCGAGCATGTTGGCGACGGTACAACGTTCAGTATTGGCCTGATTCCAGAGAACATGTGTACAATGCCCGTTCCTTGGGATTTGAGCCGACAGCACATGACCTCCCTTGTTTCTGCTGGCATATGATGCCTCAACTGCTGGTCAGGTTGACCTTGGTACATGTCTTGGTGTGTCATCACAAAGCATATTTAATTCTGCCCCCTTCTGGCGGTACCTCCGGTGTCATTGCCTGTATGACCTGGAGGGACCAGCTTCTTTACACGTCGTTCCCATGCTGCTATGTCTTTCTCTGTTTCACTTCTGTTTTATGATGGTGTTCTTTACGCATTACGAGACGTGCAGATGGTGCAGGGTGAGGGCACATTCTACGAGTTATGAGTACGAATGCTTCTTGCATGGTGCATGGCGCATGGAGGTAAAAAAGGTCGACGGTCGCATCCATCTCTTTCGTGCTGCCTCTGTATGGCGCTCTCTGACTTATGCGCCCCAGCATCTGTCCTTGCGAGCTTGGCAGCAACGGCAAATCATGGTTGTATGAGTAATGGGTCACGGCCATGGAAAGCCTTCGAGGCTTTGGATCAGCAGGATTGAGGACGCACACATGGAAAATGCAACATCGGCTAGGACGTAGGGTCCTAAGGGTTGCGTAGCCACTGTAAGGCACGGTGACGAAGGGACGGGAGATGTACGGCGCACGAGAAAGCTAATGACGGCGGCCCCTTGTCTATTGTATGATTATGTAGTGCCTTAAAAGCGTGTGATAGTTGTCGAATGCAGGCGGCCCTTTTTCGTTTATCATGGTTCGTAGCATTTCCGAAAGTGATGTTTGGTGGGTCTCGACGCCATGGCTCGACGCGACTTTTGGCGTGCGTGTTGGTTACTTGGGCGTGGCCCAGGCCAGGACGAGCGACCAGCATCACAGAATATTTGAGAAGGTGCTCGCACATGCAAAGAAGAGTAAAGAAGATCAGACGTGAGGTTCTTGTAAGCTCTTGCCGTCGGACGTGCTCCCGTGTTCCCCGCGGCTCAGGCGTCCCTTCCTGACTCAGGGTCCGGCGGCCAAAACTTTGGTTGATGCTGAACGGTGTCACGTCATCGCTTCACCCACGCGACACCCTGAAGCGTCCTGACCCCGACGCGGCTCGCATACACGCTCCATCCAGCATCCGACAGCATTGCGCATCCAGCGCTCTGTTGACAGCACACACCGGCTCCCATGGCGTGGTACGATCAGGACAGCTGGCTCACGGCAGCCTTCTCCCCAAACCTGTCGACTATCCTCATCACCTTCCTCGTCGCGCTCTGCCTGCCCATACTACTGCATACCGTCCTCTACAAGAAGGCAGCCGCAGCCGCGCAACTTCCCACCTTCCTGCTAGCCGGCCCAAGCGGCAGTGGAAAGACGGCCTTTACGACATTGGTAGCGTATCCCCCGAACCCATTCTCCCGTACCGTCTAACAATTGCCAGGCCGAGCGCAACGCTACAACCCAAACGCACACGTCCACCACACCTCTCACCGTCTCCGCTCTCCTCCCCAGCCCACACGTCCCCGCGTCATCGCACTACCGCTCACCAGGCGATCCAGCCTTCGAGCGCTCTCGCAATTTCCTCCTCCTCGACACGCCTGGCCATGGCAAGCTCCGTCACTATGCGACCTCCCAGCTTGCCGACCCCAAGAACATCCGCGGTATAATATTCGTCGTCGACGCCGCTCAACTAGGCGACGAAGCAGGACTGAACGAGGCCGGAGAGTACCTTCACGACATCCTCCTCTCGCTACAGAAACGCTACACCAACGCTACCACAAGCAAAGGGCCAAAGGAGATCCCTGTCCTTGTTGCGGCGAACAAGATGGATCTTTTCACGGCGTTGCCAGCAAACCTTGTCAAGAACTCGCTCGAGAAGACAATCACCGAGGTCAGGAGTAACAGGGCGAAGGCGCTTCGCGATGCAGGTGCGGCGTTGAATGGTGGCGAAGATGAGGTAGACGAGGAGAAGGAGTGGCTGGGTGAGGGCGGCGAGGGCATGTTCACATTTGAGCAAATGAGAGAGAGCGGGACGAGTGTGACTGTGATTGGGGGTAATGTTCAGGCGGGTAAGGAGGGCGCTGATGTGGAGCAATGGTGGCAGTGGATTGCTGAACAGCTTTGAAGAAGTTACAGGTGGCCACAGAGGGTAGGATGGATCGAGGCTCGAGCGTGTACCTATACATCGATACCCCCCTTCGTTGAATAATGGAATTAGTAGGTCGATGTCACCTTGATCAAGGTCATGACTAACGCGTGTAGATCATCAAGTTTGCTCTTGCACTTTTGAAGTCGTGAGGTTTTCGTGGCCTGACTGCCTCTTCCTTCGAGACCGAAGTGAACTTACGGCTATTACAGCCTCCAAGCGCATCGAATTATGAGAGTGATACCCTTAACACCTGACAGTGCACGTCTTAGAACAGTTGCTCTTCTTCGCCTCATGCAGAGCAAACAGCACCCAGTATTTGTTGTTCCTCTTGTTATTCGATGTTTCCGTATGTCGTTACGCGATTGTTCCGAGGCAAGCTCACGAGTAAACCGAGTAACTGGTATCATGACCAGTCGCCATGACCTCCCAAGGTTGAGCAAGCAGCGCGTGAGCTTGCTCATCGTGGCCAAATGACTGGAGGCAAGCGCGGAAATCGAAAACAGGATGTTGTATAAGAAGGTGAGTGGTTTAACCCCATAGTGCTCACCATCGCACCGGCGTCTCATCCTTTCATCGATATTTCACCAATCCGGACTCAAGACAGCAATACGAACAATGGCGAAAAAGTCAAAGGCCGCGAAGAGAGCACGAAAGGCCGAGTCGGAAGCCGAAGCATGGAAGGCATCCTCCAAGACCGTACTTGGTCGCCTGACCTACCGTCTAGAGGAATTACCCGATCTTCTGATTGTTCCTGTAAGGTTCTACTTTTTGAAGAAAATTGACGACAATGGTGATCCAGATTTCGGCTATGTGTACGCTCAGAAGCATCGAGACTCCGCGTGGACCGAGCTGTTCAACGACACTTTCGTGTATTTCAAGAATATCGCTGCTATCAACAAAAAGCCAGACGGGAAAAGCTACGAATCTCACCTCATCATTCCATGTCACTCGATGCGGGACGAAGACTTCTGGAAGAGCGTTCGCCCGGGTGACATACCCTTGAAAATCAAATTCCCCGAAGCCCCCCAAAACTCAAAAGATGTTCCCATCGAACGGCCGATGAAGTGCAGTACCATGGATAGTTTTGTGTTGAAAGGCAAAGATGAGGAAGATCGCAAGCTTTACTACAAAAGTCTCGGTCTTCTGATTCAGAAGCGTCACGCCACTATGTTCCCGCGCTCCAATATGCTCCGTATGGCCGGCGAATCCTTCCATAGTACTCCAAACGGGAGCAAAGCGATAACACCGATGGTGAAAGGATGCGCGACTCATCAGGGCAATGAAACACAGACACCTTCCCCTGCAGATGATCCGCATCGATCGAGCCACTCACCTTACTCACTTCGCATACGCAACTATCTAACGACTAATCTCAGGCAGAAACTGGTGCACCTGGCATTCGACCTCACTTGTACCTTGCCAACTACATATGACAGTATGTACAAGGTACTGTTGGATGTTTTTGGCGAGAAGATCAACGCCGGGAACATTGACCGTCTGCAACCCGCTATCGAAGACCTTCTGATCGGGCTGCAAGTTCAGCGCAACTACTCCGCTACCAAATCAAAGACTACGGCAGGAAGCATCGAAACATGGTATAAACCGTTCCCGATCCGTGAGGTCGTCCAGGCTGTCGAAGTGACAGTTAAAAGCAAGAACAAGGCGAACAATGAAGATAAGGAAGTCCAGACTGTTTACGAATATTTCGAAGAGAGTAAGTCTTGTTTCATGAGACCGACGATGAATCACAGTAACTGACGCAGATGTAGACTACAATGACGGCAACGAGATCGAGCACCAGTATCTACCTCTCGTGGGTGATGGGCGCGGCTGCTACTTCCCCTTGACATATGTCAAACTGCCTGAGAAGACTCAGGTCTTCCCAAGGACAGCCGGTGTTCTAGCCCAGCCTCTCCAGACAGAGATTCATGAGCTCGATCTCCTGAACCCGAACGGTCCAAAATTTATGGAGGACATGGGCGAACGTGTCTGGGCCGAGTTGACGAAGGAGCGACTATATGATGAGGTAATTCTATCACCCACGCTCCGAAAATTTTGCTTACATGTTCACAGGATGCAACCGAGTATGAAGCATCCGTGCTGCTCAAAAGGTCGGAGGACAAACAGGTCAGTGAGGGCGACCCATTGGACTTGGTACTCTGATCCTCTCGTTTCAGCAACACTGCTGATGCCTTTGATGGTGATGCAACCCAACAACTTCTTTGCAACATCTCGTCTTCTCGGTGGTATGGATGATTTCCTTTGTTCTCCAGCATTTTCCTTACTTCCGCGCCGGCTAGATGCACGCTGGATCTAGCTGTTGTGTCTTGGTAGCGTTCAGTCTCTGTTTCCTGGATTTGGTGTTGTCTCCCGCGTTACTTTCATAGAAAATCTAGCCCAATACACTCATTTGCAAAAACCCCCCCTTCTTTTTCGCCCTGCGAGATCAACCCTAGCTATGGGGTGAGAGATTCAAGTACAGAGTACTAGTTGGTATATCGTACTGTCCGCTAGGCCGAACTCCTTGTCAAGAGTAAGAGCAGGCCGCGGCCGATCTAAGTTTCGTAGTTGCACGCGGGACGAAGAGATCGAAATTGGGAAGCAGATCGATAATAAGCTTACCGCTTGGTCAATGCATAAATTGTCTTTAGCAAAAGCCTGTTCAGATCACTTAGCGCAGTACTAAGTACCGTGGTGTCTCATTCAGGTCACCTCGTCCATGCGATCTGCTGCTTTTCTGCATGCAGTTTTGATTCCATCGCCCAGAATGGTATCGCTCAAGGCAAAGTACCGCAGTCTATTCTGCCAGAACTGCCATCTTTTCACCGTAATTCTATCTTCGCCGCCCTTGGCCCTCCACAAAGGACCGACTGGCGCTACAAAGTCCATCACACGGTCGTAAAGATCGTGACCCAGGAGTGACAGCCATTGTGTAGCTGCTGGGAGGTCTATGCTAGGCTGCGATGACCTGAAAGCCGCCCAGTCTTGGTCAGGTATGGTAGCAGAGCCATCGAAATGCTGCGTCACTTCATTGAGGCTGAGTTCGTGTTCCAGGGCACCAACAATTGGATAGCATGCCATGCCACGAAAGTCCATGTTATTTTGTGGCAGTGCACCTCGAATGTGGTAACAGCTAAGAAGCGCAGCGAACGTGTTGATGTTCTTGTAAAGATCTCTGACAGCTAGGACGACATCACCACTGACAATGCGTTCCGTCATTGATTCAGCCGTCCTCAACGTCGCGTCTTTGCGAGCTTCGGAGGTCATGAACTGCAAGCTATAGCACTTTGGACCTGGACCGAAAACTGTCAGCTTCTGAGACTTTTCAGCACGGCGGTTGTTCATGTCCATACCTTGCAAATAACCCACGAGCTCATGACCGAAGCCAGGTAAGTCCACAAAGCTACTGGTGCCCTGAACCGGCTCATCTGTATCGTACGGATACTCTGGTAAAGGGTATGACAATCTCGCAAGCTCCACCACCAAGTCGGCCAATATCCTCAGTTCTGCTTCCGGCCATAACTCGCCACGATGGCATATGGCGCCCCAGAGTATGCTCGCATCATGGGGTGTTGACGAGGAGCAATGAGCTGAAGTCAGTGAACCAAGGATATCTGCTGCTGCTCTGGGATTGATTCGGTGAGTGAGAAGATCTTGGAAAGTACATAGTATGTGTCCTTCTGTGGATGATGGATCTACGTCGCGGATAGCCTCCTCATCGGCGCGGGATAGACTTGGAAATAAAGGATCAACAGAAGCTCGGTTCAGACCTGGCCGAGTAGAGCTGAGAATGGCAGAGAGCTGTTCGTGGTTCCATCTTGCAGCCATGGATCGAATTAAGTTAATGTCAGAATATCACCAAAATGAACAGACATAGAAGTGATGAGTGCTTGAGGTTCAGTTGCCACCATGTTGACGGTTGATAGGCTACCGAGATGCTGATTCATGGATGTTATGCATACCCACCACGTGCCTACCGTCACGCGCCCCGTAGAGGGGTTGTTAGGGGTAGGATATAATAAGGATACCTAAATTTTCTAAGATAGCTTTCGCGCGCAATAGGTCCCTATTTTTTATTTATAAGTAAAAGCTATTAGAAGTTATAATAGCTAACAGAGTAATATTAAGAATAATTAATGTTAAATTTTAAGCCTATTAAAGATACCTAGATAGTAGTACCTTCTATCTTAACTAAGAAAAGTAGTAATAGTAGTACTAAGTACGTTAATATAATAATAACAATAATAAAGACGTTAAAAGTAGCTATAGATAGTAAGCTCTTATATATACTACTACGCTGCACCTGTTAAGTATACTTATAGCTAAATTTAGAGAATATTTACTTATTAAGAACCTTCTATATAGGCGTTTCTTAGTATATCTTACTAAAATACTTATAAAAGTAGTTAAGAGTAACCTCTTTTAGCTATAATAGCTACTATAGATAATACCTACTAGTTAATTTAATAGCTATTATTAGGTTCTAGCTCTAAAGAGCTTAGACTAACTTAGTATTAGCTATAAATACTTTAGAATTACTATTATAGCTTAGTAGTAATTTATTTTTAGTCTTTTTAGAATAATATACTTAATTATAGTTTAATATTATATATCTAGTATTTAACTAACTTTATTATTTAATATTTAAATTACTCTACTTTATAATACTCTTATATACGCTATTTAGATATAATAAGCTCTAAAGTAAGTTTCTTTAGCGTAATATAATATAGTAGTAAGTAAGCTACACTATTCTTACGCGTAATAAATAATAACTAAAAAAAATTAGCTTTTATATCTTTAGAGATAGTAATACTATTTACTAAAAAACTTATAAACTTATTAAAAGCTTCTTTAAGTGTTACTAACTTAGTCTTAATTATTAGAGATAGTAATACGCTATTAAAGCTTATTTTAAAGCTAACTAAGCTTTTATAAGCTACTACTACTAAAAGTAAAAATAAATAAGCTACTTTAACTTATAAACTTAAAAAGTTATATAAGTAGAAATATTTAGAGCGTACTTATTAAAATATAGCCTATTTTAAAGAATTAAAGTATAAAGTACTTATAAATAACTACTTAGCTCTTAAAGTAGATATTATTTACTATACTTTAATTATAAAAGATAAGTTCTAGTTAAATTTAGAAGCTTTATACTCTAAAAACTTAAAGATATTTACTATACGTAATTACTTATAGTATAACTACTAAGTGTATAATTATAAGACTATTTTTAAAAAAGCGCTTTTTATCTTTTTAATAAGTACTTAAAAGGTAGACTTTACTATAAAATTTCTTAATAAAACTACTTACTCTACTTAAAATATCTACTTCTAGAACTATATAAAGCTTAAAATATCTTAGATACTTACTTAGAAGAAACTTAAAATAGTTATACTTAATATACTTAGTTTTAAGTTATTATAGCGTCTTATAGCCTATAATAGACTTAAGTAAACTAAATAAAAGCTAGATTAAAATTCTAACTCTCTTTTAGCCTACTTTAATATACTTTAAAGTAAACTAAGTAACTACTTAAAAAAGTAGCGCTATATAAACTTTATAAGTACTCTTTTTTTTAATATTTAGAAAGAACTTTTACTTTAAGACTAGAAAGACTATAATATAGTCTTTAAGCTTAATACTTTAGCTTACTACTATTAAAGTAAAATAAAGTATACTACTATGCTTTTTAAGTATTTAGCTTATAAAAAGAAGTTTTATAGCTATTAAGTCTAAAACTTTTTTTTAAAGCCTTTTTAGACTTAGAAAAAGGCTAAAAAAGCTAGTTTAGTAAAATCTAACTTATAACTAGCTAAATTAAACTAAAATAGTCTAAAAGACTTTAATATAACTTATTAAAAGTATAATAAGACTAAATACTTTTAAAAGAACTATTTAAAGTCTAAGAGAAACTCTAAAAGCTTATTTAGTTAAGAATTAAAAAAAAGTAGTAAATAAAAGAGCTAGAGTTCTTCTTAGCTACTTATATTACTTTAGACTTAGTATTTTAGAACTTAAAACTTCTTTATAATATACTTTATCTAAAGCTAGTAAAGCTACTAATAGTAAAAGTATTACTTAGCTAATTAAAGCCTATTAAAGCTCTAGTAGATAGAAGTTTTTAGTTAAACTTTATTTTAGTATTACTTATAGTAAAGTAAAGCTTATTAGTTTACTTTTTATCTAAGCTATTAGTAAATAGAGTAAATAGTAAAAAATTAAAAATTTATAGTACTACTATAGTAACTATAAAAGTAGTAAATTCTTATAAAAAATAAGAGACTTAGAATATTTTATATATTATTATAGAGGTTTATAAGTATTAGATATACTTAAGTCTACTCTAGATAAATATATATTACTTAAAGATTAGCTACTTTATACAAAGACTACTTTTTTAGAGTACTAAGTCTAAGAATAAAACTATTTATAGAAAAATTACACTAAAAAAAGCTAAGAAGTTTAAGAAAACTATATATAATTTTATAGTAAATATATATAGCTATCTTATTATCTTAATACTTTAGTCTAGCTTAAAAGAAGCTAAAGAGAGTAGTTTATCTTTATAATATACTAAGTTTACGTATCTTAGATTAAAAGATAACTTAAGAGTTTTTATTAACTAGAGTTTATAAAACTTAGCTATTAACTTACTACCTAGAACTATAGTACTCTACTAGCTATTATATAATCTCTTTAAGATAGAGTTAGAGCTCTTATATAAGTATTTAAATAAATACTTAGTATAAAAGTAAATTAGATATAGTAAGTCTCTAGTAGAGGTGTTTATACTCTTTACTAAAAAAAAAAATAGTAGTATATACTTATACGTTAACTATAAAAGCCTTAATAAAGTTACTATTAAAAATTAGTACTCTTTACTACTTATTATAAAGTTTCTAAAAAGATTAGCTAGCGCTAAATTCTATACTAAACTTAATATAAAAGAGGCTTACTATAAAGTATATATTAAAAAGAGTAATAAGTAAAAAACTACCTTTTATATAAGATATAGTAGTTTTAAGTATACTATAATACTTTTTAGCTTTATAAACGCTTTTACGTAGTTCTAGACTTATATCTATTAAGTTTTTATAGAATTAATTAATATAACTTATATTATATACTTAGATAATATTTTTATTTTTTTTAATACT